CACCCCTATATATACAACTATGTTCCGTAATTCCATTTCATTGTCTGACGAAGTCTGCTTGCACGCGAAAGCTCACACCTTGAAGGAAACTTTACTGGTCTTCAGAGGTAGATTCGGGGGGGGATCGCGGGGGATCGCAGTTCCCCCGGGTGAGGTGCGGGGGGCGGGGCACATGACGAAGCCCCGCCCCCTGCTTCCGGCCGCCCCACTTCCGGCCCTCATTCAGCCAGGAGGAGGCAGGAGAAGAGGGAGGGTAAGTTGCTTCCTCCCCGCCTCTCCCCACCCCTGCCTGCCTGGGGCCAGGGAGGGCCTTCGCGGGGCTTCCTCGCACTCCCGCCGGCCTTGCAGGTCCACCGCCGGGCCCCTCATTGGCCATCATACTTTTTAAAAAGCACTGGTTTTTTTGAGGGGAGGTATAGTCCACTAAGACTAGTGTGCCACCTGTCCAGGTTGTCCAGAGGTCCCCATCAGCTCAAGAACTGCAGATCTTGGAAGCTAAGCAGGGTTGACTCTGCAAGTATTTATGTCACACTTCCGGTGATGTCAGGGGGTGTGACCTTATGACACACTTCTGGTAATGTCAGGGTGTGTGGCATATGCTAATGAGCTATGCTAATGAGTTCCCCTAGCTCTTTTTCTACGAAACGACCCCTGCTGGTCTTAAAGGTGCCGCTGGACTCTTTGTTCTATTCCAGCCTCCAGTCGCTTCTCAGAGGCAAGAGTTCCTTGGCATCCACTTCTTTTCCTGTCCCTCTGTTCAGTGCAGAACAAAAAACCACTGGGCCCTACTCTCTCTTCTCCAGTCCCCAGGAGTCAAGCCTCCCCTAATTTCCGTCTCTCCCCTTGATTGCTCTTCCGTCCCGTTGGAGCACTCAGACATCCCTGCGCCTATGCTTTTTGGCACAGAGAACAAGGCAGTCGGGACGGTGGATATTAATGGGGTCTTCAAATGGCTCCCTGTCTCCAAGCATTCTACATCGCAGCTTGAGTGGAAGGTGCTGTAGAGTCAGACCCTTCCAAAGCTTAATTCGAGCCTCTGCAGTCTTAGCTAATGGCTGGGAAGGGCACGGCGTTCCTTTAGCTGGGGTTGTCTAGAAGTTGTAGTGATGGGGGGGTGTTTGTGTTTGTGAAAAAAGGAAACAGATGTGTTCCAGCTGGGATTGACAGCTCTGAGTTGGGGAATTCCTGGCGTTCAGGGACAGAGCCTGGGGAGGGAGTGGTTGGAGTAGGTTATAATGCCATAGAGTCCAATGACATAGAGGCCCCCCCCCCAAGTAGACATTTTTTCCAGAGGAATTGATCTCTGTAGTCTTGAGATCAGTTGTAATCAAGGCTCCCTCTAAGCTGCGGAGTCTTGTGAGCAAAAATTCTACTTTGTGAGCCACTGGCATGAAAGTGGCGAGTGGGCGATTTGGCTGCTGCATATATCAGTTTGCTCTGGAGCCCCATCCTTCCTGAGCCGAGACAAAAATGGGTGAGCCAGAGGCTAAAAAACTGTGAGCTGGCTCACACTAACTCAGCTTAGAGGGAACACTGGTTGTAATTCCAAGAAATCTCCAGGCACCATTATCCAGCAGGGAGAATAATTAGTAATACCGCTTCCAACCTGAGAAATTCCTGGAGAGATGGAGGTGGAGCGTGGGAAAGGCAGAGTTCAACAGGGATGAGATGAAACTCTAGGACTTCTGTTTCTCCTCAGCTCTATAGTAGACTCTAGTGTTCACTCTGCGAAGTTGCCATTTGCTCAAGGACAATGCTTCCTCTAAGCGGTGGAGTCTTGTGAGCAAAAATTCTACTTTGTAAGCTACTGGCATTAAAGTTATGAGTGAGCCATTTGGCTACTGCATAAATTAGTTTGCTCTGGAGCCATCCTTCCTAAGCTAAGACAAAAAAGTGTGAGCTAGCCCACTCAGCTTAGAGGGAACACTGCTCAAGGGGTACAGATCTTTGTAGCACGGAGGTCTGCTGTCATTCTCTGAGAATTCCAAACCTCACCTGTGTTAGATTCGCTGGTATGGTAAGGCAGGAACCTGCATCAGTTTCACAGAGTGCACACGCAGCAGAGCTTCTTTGTTCTGTATGTGCTAGCAAAGTTACAGAGTCACACAGAGCCACTTGTCAGTTTCAAACCTAATAAAGAGTTCTTTATTTAGTGAGCTCCATTCTAGGAGGGATAGGGGAGAGATAGGAATCAAACTGAAGTACTCTAACTACTTGGATGGATGCTGTAATGTATCCAGTGCAGACCGCGTGGCCTGCTTGGGCTCCACGCGGTCAGGCACAAACGTCGAGCTTTGCTCCAAGAGACAATGGACTATGCGGATCGCAGCCCGCTCCAATCAGGGGGCTAGGTTCCTGGCCGAGAGCCTATGGGACTCTCGGCCACTGTAAATAACCTACTGGGAAGTGGGGTGTTTTGGGTGGCGGTTTCTCGGGGAATATAAGCCGGCCTGCGAGCCGGCCAAAGTCGTCTTGTTCCTGATCGATGCTTTGCTGAAATCACTCTCCGTCTGCGTACTTTTCAGATGCAAGTGGAGGTTGCATCCATGGTGCAAAGATGGAAAGCAAACCTGCTCCTTCTTTGTGTGTGTGGGAGAGAGAAGGTGTGAACAGAAGAAAGGAAGCAATTCCCTGATAGTATCAGTCTACAAAGGGATGGAGGCAGAAGAGTTAACTGTTAACAGGAAGGAACCTCATAGTTTGCCTGTCTATCTATCTGACTCTCTTGTACCCCCCCCCCCAGGCTGAGGTTAAGAGACAGCGTCTGGTCCTTCTCTTCTGACAACCCAGAGGCTGGCAACTCCAGCAACTCCCTCTCCTCCAATGGAGATTCAGAACCACGGTTCTGGAACCTTGAGCGTGGGTTTGAATTGCTACAGTTGGCCTGCAGGAAAAGCGAAATTCTCTTCAAAAGGGATTGTTGAAGTAAAGCGGTGTAAAGGCGCTAGCTTGGAGGAACACGAAGAGGGGTGTGCAGAGGGATCTGTATTTGGGGGTACCGGCTTGTGATGGGGGACTGAATGGGTCAGAGAAACTGTCGGAAATGGCACGGAGGGGCTTTTACTGCATCTTCTCCCCCGCACCAGTTTGGTGTAGCAGTTAAGAGCAGTGGACTCTCATCTGGAGAACTGGGTTTGATTCCCCATTCCTCCACATGCAGCCCACTGGGTGACCTTGGGTCAGTCACAGTTCTCCCAGAGCTGTTCTCTCAAGAGCAGTTCTCTCAGAGCTCTCTCAGCCCCACCTACCTCACAGGGTGTCCGTTGTGGGGAGAGGAAGAAGAGCTGCTCTGAGACTCCAAGTGAAGGGGGGAGTAGAAATCCAACTCCTCCTCCTCTTCTTTTTCTTCTTCCTCCTCTTCCTCCTCCCCCTGCTTTCATTTAATTGCCATGGCTTTCTCTTTCTAGGACCCAGAATGGGCAACTCTCCCCCTACCAAACAGCTAAAGAAAAGGAGAGATTGGGAAGGGGAAAGGTGACCTTTCCAAAGCGGCTGACCCTTCTTCCGGCCATAACATCTGGCTGTATGTCTCATGTGGCCCAGTGCCCGCCTATTGAGAGTCGCCACTGACTCCCTCCTGCCTGCTGAGAATGTGGAAGATTCCACAGAGCCATGATGGCTCTCATCCTCCACATGATGGATACTTCCAAGTATGAGGCACAGAGGGGGGATCAGTTGTGCAGAGGCGGGCTGTTTGCAGTTGCCTTGTCCCCAAGGGGAAATGTGATGCGTTCTGCAGTCTGAAGATCCCAGAAGCTTCTGGATAAGGCAGCATCCCTCTTTGCCAAATGGCCGATTCACATGTCACAGAGTACAGAGGTTAGGTCTGGGGGACCCACCCTGTCTCACAGTCAGGCGCGAGTGGCGGGTTTGCTTCTATTCCCTGGGAGGTACTTGGGCCAACTACCACACCCCCTGTTTCAGGTTGGGATTCAGGGTTGCCAGCTCAGGGCTGGAAAATTCCTGGAGATGGGGGGGGGTAGAGCCTGGAAAAGAGCAGGGTTTAGGGAGGGACCTCAGCAGAGTATCATCAGGGGTCATTTCGTAGAAAAAGAGCTAGGGGGACTCATTAGCATAACTCATTAGCATATGCCACACCCCCTGACATCACCGGAAGTGTGTCCTCCCCACAGCCGGTGGCGACCTCCAGCGGGCACCAGCAGGGAGCTCCAGGCCCCGCCCTCCCGCACCTCACCCGGGGGGATGGCGTCCCCCCGAGTCCCCCCCCAAATGACCCCTGAGTATCATGCAATAGACTCCATCCTCCAAAGCAGCCATTTTCTCCAGGGAAACTGATCTCCGTAGGATGAGAAAATCTCCAGGCTCCACCTGAAGGTTGGCAACTCTATGGGGAAACAGAATGGGGGGGAGGCTAGTGCCCCTTCTCTGTGTTCATCACAGTCTCCATCTGAATTGGGCACCACATACATGGGAACGGAGAGATCTCACAACTCACATGATCTGACCGTTACACCAGGGTGGGGGCAGACCCAACCTGCATGCTCTGTGCTGTGTGAATCGGCTCCAAGTTGCTCCATCTGTAAAATGGAACGATGATAGGATTTCACTGGGCTGCTTTGGGGCACACTCACTCATCACAAAATGCCGTAAAAAGAGAAGGGGCTGGGGAAATGAGGAGCTTCCGCCTCACTTTTTGGATCTAAGAAGTGTTGCATGCCTGTTTCCCCCCTCCTAGGAGACATCTCAAGATTGACTTAGGTGGGTACAAAAAAGAGAGGCAGATTTTGGGCAAAAGACTTATGCAAAAATCAGGACTGCTTGGGTGGAGGAGACAGACATCAGGCTTAAGGTATTACCAAACATTATTTAACAGGGCTGGATTAAGGCATGCTGAAGCCCCGGGCTGTGTCAAATTGAAGAGGCCCCAGAGCATTCCCCCGCAAAATGTGTATTCTTCTGGCAGGGTTATTTTTGTATTTATGGGCCCCTCGTAGTCACCTGTGTGTCAATCCAGCTCTGATTTTTAACTCTCTCCAAGGATGCAGGAAGATGAGACCGAAGGTTCCAAGTTGCGGCCCAGTTCCAGCAACCAGTGGGAGTCAGGTAAAGATTGGGACAGGCCGAATCCTCCTCCCTGGTGGCCGCCCCCCCTTGTGCTTTGGGACCGCCCAGCCCGGCCCCGTCTCTTTACTCCCCCACTCTCTTCACTCCCCCACTCTTCTCCTGCACCATCGCTTTAGAAGATGCTGCTGCCAGGGCAAGGTTTTAACATAATTATCCAGTCAAATGGAGTTGAGTTTGAAAGGATGCCAGGAGAGAGAAAAAAAAATGCAGAAATGAAACTCGGAGGAGGGGGAGCTGGAGGCAGAGATCCTGCAGGGCTGGAGGAGGGGAGGAGGCTCTTTCTTGTTCCCCGACTCCAGGCCACAAGCAGCCCGTGTGGCAAGGCAACATAGACATGGAGAAGGAGCCGCTCTGCTGCCAGCCCACCCTCCAGGTCAGCCCCATCAAGGCCTGGCCCCGTGAAGCAACCCGAGAGTTCCAGCTAGAGTGGCCAGTTTTTAAAAGAGCTAATTGCTGTCTGGCTTCCGGGACTTCCGGTTGCAACTACGCTTGCCAAGTCCCCCAGGGGGCGGGGAAAGCCCCGCCCCAGAGGCCCATTCCCCACCGCCAGCGGATCGGGCCCCGGGGGGAACTCCACCCCGACGTGCACGTCGCCCGGAAGTGACTCTGGCATGCCAGGCACGCTGGGGGTGGGGCCACGGTCATCCGAGGGAAAACTCTATGGTTTTCCCACGGATGGTCGTGGCTTCGCCCCAGCGTGCCCACGTCACTTCCGGGCGACGTGAATGCAGCGTACACGCTCCACCCACCAGCCGGGAGTCCTCCACTGCAGCTGAATTCACACTTGGCAACCCTAGTTGCAACTCTGTGTAGCCTCCTCACAGAGGCCTAACCTCCAGCGCCCCCCCGTGTGCAACCCAAGTAAGAGCCACCAACTTTGGCTTGGGAGAATCCCGGAGTTCTGGGAGGGGGGTACCTGGGGGGCAGATTAGGGTTGCCAGCTCTGGGTTGGGAAATACCTAGGAATTTTGGGGGTGGAGTCTGAGGGAGGCGGGGTTTGGAGCATCGTGCCATAGAGTCCACCTTACAAAGGGGCCATTTTCTCCAGGTGAACTGATCGCTGTCACCTGGAGATCAGTTGTAATAGCGGGAGATCTCCAGCCACCACCTGGAGGTTGGCAACCCTGGGTGAGATTGGGGAGGGGAGGGAGCACAGCAGGGATGTAGTGGCAGGGAGTCTGTCCTCCAAAGCGTCTGTCTCGTCCACGGGAGTAGATCTCTGTGGTTTGAAGTTCAGTTCTGGGAGAACTCCCAGACCCACCTGGAGGGTGATAACCACAATGCACAACGCCAGCTGTAGACGACATAGTTTTCATGCTCCAGCCGACCAACTTGCCAGACATTTCTCTAAGCAGCCAGAGCACTGATCGGTGGGGCCTGCCATTGCATTTCCTGGTGCCTGCTTCCCAGGGGTCATTTCGTAGAAAAAGAGATGCAGTAGCTCATTAGCATAACTCATTAGCATAACTTATTTGCATATGCCACACCCCCTGACATCACCGGAAGTGTGTCAGAAGGCAACACCCACCGCTCAGGCTCCATTGGACTGTTTTGGATTGCTAGCTATTGGGGGGGGGACACACGCAGATCTGCCCTCACAGGGGAGGGAGAGCTTGTACCTGAAAGCTGGCCGAGGGGGGGGGGGCTCTTCAACTTACCTGGCTGCTTCTTGCTCCTCGAGGCCCGACTGAGGGCTGCTGGGAGCAGGGGGCGGGGCTTGTTGCATGTGCCCGCCCCCTGGGCTCCTTACTGCCAGAGCTCCGCTCCTGTGGGCTCCTGCAGGAAATGACCCCTGCTGCTTCCCCAAAGCTTTCCCCAGCTGGTTTTCTCCAGTCCGCTGGAGTAGGAGGTGCTGCAGAAGAACCCAGGAGGCAACACCTTGGTGTCTGCAGGGCGCCTCCATTCAGAAACAGCCCCTTCCGTTACAGGAAGGCATTTGGCTAGGAGCCTCCCAGCATTTTGTGACTGGTTCCAGCCTGCATGGCAGCCATCTTGTGGCTATCTGCACTTCCCCCCACAAGACAGCCATTTTGTGACGGATCCTGTGGTAGCCATTTTTTGGATGAGTCTTGTGTGCGTGTGTGTGTAAGCTGGAAAGGCGTGGTTGACTTCTAGCAACCCCTAGTGGGGCTCGAACGTTTCAGAGAGGTGGCTTGCTTACTGCCTGCCTCTGCACCCCCAGCCCTGGTATTCCTTGGAGGTCTCCCTTCCAAGTACTTGTCAGGGTCAGCCCTGCTTCGCTTCCGAGATCTGACGAGATTGAGCTAGCCTGGGCTATTCAGTCAGGGCACCATGGTAGCCATTTTGTGGTAGTGCTCACACCCATTCTCAGAATTCCAAAAGTGTCCACAGGCTCAACAAGGTTAGCGATCCCTCCAGGAGTGCTTAGGTCCAATGGGAGAGAGCCGGGTTCAGATCCCTGCTCAGTGACCCTAAAGGTGACCTTAGACCATTTACTGTCTGTTCAATATATTTTTAGGCTAGCTAAACACTCTCTTGTGGCCTAATTTACCTCACAGGGTCGTTCTGAGGCTAACAGCTGGGGTTCGGCCATGCATGCCATCTTGAATTTAGAACGGATAAAAGGAAGTACTTCTTCACCCAAAGAGTGATTCACACATGGAATTCACTGCCACAGGAGGTGGCGGCGGCTACAAGCATGGACGGCTTCAAGAGGGAATTAGATAGACATATGGAGCAGAGGTCCATCAGTGGCTATTAGCCACAAGGGGCTCTGGGGCAAGTGATGCTCTGTCTTCTTGGTGCTTGGGGGGTGGGGGCAACAGTGGGAGGGCTTCTAATGTCCTGGCCCCACTGGTGGACCTCCTGATGGCATCTGGTATTTTTGGCCACTGTGTGACAGAGTGTTGGACTAGATGGGCCTTTGGCCTGATCCAACATTGGCGTCTCTTATGTTCTTATGAATTCCCTGAACAAAGGATGGGATAAAACAGGGAGAAATAAGAAGCTCAAGATCATGTCATTGAGTTACTCCTGGAACCACCCATGCAAAGTGGGTGGGGGGTTGGAGCTTCTTGGTGGGTTCTTACTAGAAGGGAGAAGGGCTGTAGGAGGGAGGGCATGGTGAGAAAGCTTCAAAGAGCAAGAAGGCAGCACGAGTCCTAAGAAAATCACCGTTTAACGCTACTGGGGCTGTTAGTCCTTCCTGTTGCTCCGTCCTGCTTTTATTGGTAGCTTCAAGAGGCAGAGCTGCAAAACAAGACGCCATTTGGATGTCGTGATAGGCCGCTGTTAGCAAGCTATGCAAAACCATGGTTTAGAATCCTGGTTTAACACGCCATAACAAACCACAGTTTGTTGGGTAGCCTGCATTTGGACATCATGAAAAATTGACAGTTACACAAACCGTATTCAGCAACTTCCACATGTAAGTCACTGTGTTTATGAACGTCATGGCTGGCATGCCAAGGGGCTGGAAGCCAGCTCGGCCCCAGGTTACAAATGTCTCCACACGGACACCAAAACGAGCTTCCACTATAGCAGGTATAGCAGCAAGTTGGGTGATGTCCGCGCACAAGCATCCTGGCTGTTCACTGCCGCCGCCACCCGACCGCTGCTGCTCCCCTTTCCTCCAACATGGCGCACAAAAACAAAGTGTGATGGCAATTACAACACTCCCCCCCAGCCTGGAATCCCCCCTTTCCCCTTTTCAGCCCGACTCTACTGCTAAGGTACAGTATGGGTGTGCTGGGAAAGGGAAACGGTTCTATAAAGAGCAAAAAGAGGAGGAGCACTTGCCATTTTGAAAGCAGAGCGTAGCTCTGTCCCATCTGGATGGATGCCCCACCCACAGCCATCCCACCGTTCCCTGCTTGAACCAGATCAAAAAAGGGTTTGCTTTTGATCCATTTTAAAACAGGATCCCCAAGAATCAACCTCAGAATGAGCAGACGGCTGTTCAGGCACTCCTTTAAAATGTAGGCGCTTCCTGCCCTCCATGCAGAGGAAAATCCCTGTGTGGATGCAGCCCTTGTTCGGTTACCTGGAGGTGATTTTCTACCCGCCCTAGGTGATCAGGCTAACTGCTACTTATAGACGTTCTTCAACTTGGTAAAACTATTGCTTAGGGGGGGTGAGGGATTAAAGTTTGATAACATGTCTGTATTTCCAATGCATGCTTACAGCTGCGGCAGGGCTTTTGATATATAGCTCTTCTACACTGATTATCCCGCAATATGTGAGTCCAGCCTTTTGTAAGGCAAGGCCAGAACACACTGAAATACCCTGTCTGGTGGCTTTCTTGGCTATTGTGGGAAATGGGATGTTGGCTTAGATGGGCCTTTGATACAGTTGCCAGCTCCGGATTAGGAAAAAAACTAGAGATTTTGGGGGTGGAGCCTGAGGAGGGCGGGGTTTAGGGATGGGAGGGACTTTAATGGGATATGATGCCATAGAGTCCACCTTCCACAGTGACCATTTTCTCCAGGTGAACTGATCGCTGTCGCCTGGAGATAATTTGTAATAGTGGGAGATCTCCAGCCACCAACTGGAAGTTGGCAGCCCCAGCCTTTGGCCTGATCAACAGGGCTCTCCTTATTAAGGCTGCCAACAGGCCTGGAGAAAAGCATCCCATCCCTTTAATGGAGGCTCAAAGTATGGACATGGGCAGCTGGAGCATTTTATAGAAGTCAAAAGCATCACCCGGTCAATAACATCCCTGTAAACCTCCTGTGGTGGCTCAAGTGGTTAAGACGCTGAACTGCAGGCTGTGGAAGGTCAGTAGTCCAGCAGTTCAAGACCCGGATGCCACATGACAGAGTGAGCTCTTGTCTCTAGTTCCAGCTCCTGCCAACCTAGCAGTTCGAAAGCAAGAAATTGCAAGTAGATAAATAGGTACCACTTTGGTGGGAAGGTAACAGCGTACTGTGTGCCTTGGTGTTTAGTCATGCCGGCCACATGACCACGGAAACGTCTTCGGACAGTGCTGGCTCTTCGGCTTTGAAACGGAGATGAGCACCGCAACCCTAGAGTCGGACTCGACTGGCTTTCGAGCAAGGGAACCTTTACCTTTAAGCCTCCTCACAACAACCCTGTGAGGTAGGTTAGGCTGATAGAGAGTAACTGGCCCAAGATCACCTAGCGAGCTTCATGGCAAAGCAGGGATCCTCTTTTTCTTCCCTGCAGCCCCACCTGCACTGGAGCTGGAGAGTGAAGAGAGAACCTCGTCCCCTTTCCCAGAACTGGAACAGCCCTGCCCACCCCCACGTAAAACCTCGTGAGTAGTTACTGCTGGCTGTGAAGGGAGCCAGCCCCTCCCGACTGGGTGGAAGCTGACAAGGTCAGGCTGTGCCAGGAGATCTGCATGGACAAAAGGCTGGGGGGGGGGGTTGTAATAAGGAGGGGACTTGGGTGAGTCTGAGAGGGAAAAGATGGCTGGCTCCAAGTCAGCATTTGCAGGATCACTTTTCTGCTTGGTTGGGAGCACTTTGTAAAGCATCCAACAGGGAAACTTGATTTCCCCTTGTTTATGGCTGTCAGGGCTTTTTTTTGTAGATAAATCCCAGCAGGAACTCATTAGCATAATAGGCCACACCCAACAACAGAAATTCATTAGCATATTAGGCCACACACCCTAACAGCACAGGTCATTGGCATATTAGGCCACACCCCCATGTTACCAGAAGTGTGCTCATCCAGCCACACCCACCTTCTGCTTCTTATTCTGTTTACCTTGTTTGTTGTCAAAACCCAGGGCTTTTTTGTAGCAGGAACTCCTTTGCATGTTAGGCCACACACCCCTAATGTAGCCAATCCTAATGAGTTTCTGCTGTTGGGTGTGGCCTATTATGCTAATGAGTTCCTACTGGGCGTGGCCAACTTGGAAGCCAGCCGGAACTCCGTTCCTGTGCGTTCCTACCCAAAAATAGCCCTGATGGCTGTCATTTATTGTCCTCACGGGCTGCTAATTTTAAACCTGTCGCTTCTGTTTTCTAATTGCAAACTGACCCTTTCTGGTTTGCCATCCTGTCGGGAAACCTGTTGGTGAGGCAGAGCACAAACGAATGCACAGCCAAAGAACATGACATATATGTTGCAGGTTTCTCTACTTTGGATGATACAGGAGTCATCTGCTGCATGTGAAACTCTGCACTGTATCAGTGGTGCTTCTCCATGTCACGGCCACGCCGTACTTTCTGAAATGCAAAGTGTGGGCTTTTATACAAAAATCTATATTGATTTCATATTGCTTGAACTGCCAAGGCTCCCTTTAAAGGATCCTGGGAACTGTAGTCTGGAGAAGGGCCGAAGCATTCTCTAGCTGCTCTTGCTCCCACTTCTCACTGAAGTAAAATTCCATGGCAAGGAAGGAAAACCAGTTCAATCTGTGACGTGTGGACATAATGTTGTTCCTTCTGACCAGCATGGAGGCTTCCCCCCTTCACCCCTCTTCTCCCTCCTCACAGGCGTCAATACTTGAAGAAAATCATTGCTGAATATGAGGCTCTAGACATGGAAATGCCTTGTATCCAGAAGTTCCCCAGGCCACCAGCTGCCCGGCCCCTTTGCCTATGTATGGAGATCCCGGTCAGTTGTGTTTCAATGCTGGGAAGGAGACTTTGAGGCATTTAGCCATGGCGTGTGTGTGTGAGGGGGAAGGGGTTCAAAACAATGTGTGCAGGGGGGGAAATTCGGCAATATTCAGATTCAGGGATATTCCGGGGCATCATATTCAGGACACTGGGATATCCACAGAATACGATATTCGGCAATGCTCGCTGATTCGAGCGGTATTCGGGAAGCTCGAATATTCGGCCCCATTATACCCTATGGGCCATCAAAGTCAATGGTGAAATCTCATAGGGTATAATCTGGGGGCTGGGAGGGGAGAGGGTTTGAAGAAGAGCCTCCCAATTTGCAGGGTAGTTGCTGGAGCTTTTCCCCAAAAGAACCCCCAGGTCCCAAAAAGATTGGACCAGGGGGGTCCAATTCTATGGGCCCCCAAACAGGTTACCCCCATCCCCTCCATTGTTCTCTATGATGGGAAAAAATGTAAATTTTCCCATGGTGCTTTTAGTGGGCTGGGGGGGATGGGGTTAGAAGGAGAGGCATCAAATTCACAGTATGGCTGCTGGAGCCTCTCCCCACATGAACCCCCAAGTCCCAAAGACATTGGACCAGTAGGTCCAATTCTATGGGCACCCAAACAGGTCACCCCCCTTCCCTCCATTATTATGGGGATAAAACCCTGACCCAGCCAGCAGACACACAGCAAGGCAGGCACCCAGCAGTCAGACTCTCCCAGAGAATCTAAGGGAAAGTGAACTGTTGGGAGGTTGCTTGTTTGCCAGGAGCCTAACAGTCACTGCAGAACAAGTGCCACAGTGGCAGCGCAAGTGCCGCACAGAAACCCAACAGGACCAATGTCAAACCAGAGAATCTCTGTCTTACAAACTGGGTCAACCTCCTCCAGACTTCATAGGTAGAGAGAGAGAGATAGCTAGATAGTCATTCTTACACTGGCCTTTCCTTCCTGTGTTTTCTTTCCTGTCACTATCCCTTTGATTTGTAGAATGGAGATCTCAGGGAAACAACTTCCTTTCTTCCTTTCACCTCTCCCACACACAATAGCCCCCCCCTTTCAGACATTACATCTATGCATGCCAGGAGCCTGGCATCTGTGCATAGATCCTCTCAATACATGCAGTCGCCATGTTGCCAAAACGGGCAATGCTCGCACATATAAGCAATCCAACCACTCAATTTTCTAGGCGTTTGGTTTGCACATACCAAAACTGTATGTGCATGTAAAGTATGTACATTGTCCCTGTTCAGACACAGCAGCTGTGTATATCTGGAGCATGCTTTCAGTAAGTGTGGATGCAACATCCAAAAAGGGCTAATCTGTCAGGGTAAATCCAGCTCCCCATAGCTACCCTGAGTCTGAGAAAAGAGCCCTTCAGATAAAAATAATGATAATAATACTATAGCCCTCTAAACACATTATAGTGAATCGGCATACAAGCCGTACAGGGTATACTTGTTTTTTCTTTATACATGAGTTGAGTAACTTCATGCTACATTCAACATGTGTACAGATCAATGTGTGATTTTAAAGACACATTTACCCAGGGTCCCTGGTTTCATTTGTAAAGTCAACATGTGCTGGGTCTTTCTGAGAAACAGATGTATGCACATACATGCAGATTATATGTTTACTATAACACATGAACAGGGCTATATATAGTCAGTGTACTGACTATATATTCACACACTGAATCATTCTTACATTACATTCAACATATGTACAGCTGAATGTATGACTGAAACCCCACCTTTATCCAAATCTTAATCCCTGGTTTTGAGTTTAGTCACTCACAGAGTTTTCAGTGGGCATTACAGATGTACCTGAACATTTTCGCTTTTTTTTTTTTTTTTTGCATGATTATAGCCCTGCTGATTTCCATAGAACGAGAGAACTTCTGTAGTCTTGGCTGACCTAATTCATGGCTTTAAGAAAACTGAAGGCTTTCAAGATTTCAGTGATGATTCACTGTTTCCTTAGACCTCCCTTTGGGCTCTTTTTGTAAAATTCACTTATGGGATTGACTACCACAAGAAATGAGGAAGGCCATTAAGTTTAGATAGCTTAAAAAATATATATATATCCCAGAATGACTGGACAAATTCATAGTCAAAGTGTGTGGTGGAGTAATTAGGGTGTTGAGCTAGAACTGGGGGGGACTATGGTTCAAATTCTGCTGAGCCATGAATCTCACTGGGGGACCTTAGGCCCAGCCCTCCTCTCTTTTACCCTAACATACCCCACAGAACCTGCTTCCACAGCCTTCAGAACTGCGGTGGCTGAAGTGGTTAAGACGCTGAACTGCAGGCTGTGGAAGGTCGGTAGTTCAGCAGTTCGAAACCCGAGTGTGCCGCATGACGGAGTGAGCTCCCGTCTCTAGTTCCAGCTCCTGCCAACCTAGCAGTTCGAAAGCAAGAAATTGCAAGTAGATAAATAGGTACCACTTCGGTGGGAAGGGAACAGCGTTCCGTGCGACTTGGTGTTTAGTCATGCTGGCCACATGACCACGGAAACGTCTTCGGACAGCGCTGGCTCTTCGGCTTTGAAACGGAGATGAGCACCGCAACCCTAAAGTCCGACTTGACTGGCTTTCGAGCAAGGGAACCTTTACCTTTACCTCACAGAAGGGATGCATAAATAAAATGGGGGGGGGGAGAGAACTCTGTATGCTGATCTGAGCTGCTCAAAGGGCAGGTTAAAGAATGCGACAATGAATAGGTCTATTAAAGGCAATTAGCCATGAGAGCTAAATGAAACCTCCGCTTCCCTGAACCTCGGAGTATGATACCTGGATCAGAGGATGGGTGTCCTGTTTGTGAATTTGATGAAGGCCACTCACTGGCTGGTTGCTGCCAGACACAGAATGCTGAACTGGATCAAATCTTGGCCTGATCCAGCCAGGTAGTTCTTAGCTTCTTTCTAACCTTCCTTCCACCATCCGCACTGCTGTTCAGGCACACACGTGTGAACGGCTAAAAAAAAAAACTGAGCGTGGAACTCGGAGTGCAGTCCTTAATTCAACCGATGGCTGTGGAAGCAGGTTCTTTTACTTCCATGTCATGTAGAGGAAGACATGCCTAGTGGGCATATTTTTTTGGGGGGGGTGGAGCAGAAGCCTGAGCATTGAGCTATGCCTTTGCCCCCCAGCCTGAAAAGGAGATGAACCACGCAGAGGTCCTCGTGGCTGTCGAGGCGGCCATTCCTAATGCCTTTGAGGAGGGCCTCTTGTGCAGCATCCAGTTTGAGAACACCAATGTGATCTGTGGAACAGCGGGACGGAAGAACAGGTGAGACCTCCCTCAGTCTTAGACTTACCTGGTTGCCCAGTGTGGCAGCAACCTCTTGACACCATGCTTCAGCTGCAGTTGTTGCTCAACAGAACAGCTGGACCCAAAATATGTGGGCATGTGGAGGGAGACAGTGCTGCTTGTAGGGTTGGGCAATTCCTGGGGATTTGGGGGTGGAGCCTAGGGAGGGTGGAGTTTGGAAAGTAAAGAAGCTCCGTGAGCGTACGATACCATAGAGAATGCCCTCCAAAGCTGCCATTTAATCCAGGGGAACTGACCTCTGTAGTTGAGGGGTCAACTGTATTTCCGAGGGGATGTCAGGCCCCACCTGGAGGTTGTCCAATTGCTTGCTGTTAATGACATTGCGGGATTTAAATTATACACTGCCTCTATCAGGACTCTGAAGAGGCGGCACAGAAAGATCCTGAATAAGTACATCTGAAGCTAGAACAAGCTAGAACGTGTCCGGAGGAGGGCAACGAAGGTGGTGAGGGGTCTGGAGACCAAGTCCTGTGAGGAAAGGTTGAAGGAGCTGGGTATGTTTCGCCTGGAAAGGAGATGACTGAAAGGCGATATAACCATCTTCAAGTACTTGAAGGGCTGTCATTATAGTTGTTTTCTGTTGCCCCAGGTCAGACCAGACCCAATGGGTTGAAATTAAATCAGAAGGGTTTTCGGCTAAACATTAGGAAGAACATCCTGACAGAGCAGTTCCTCAGTGGAACAGGCTTCCTCAGGAGGTGGTGGGCTCTCCTCCTTTGGAGGTTTCCAAACAGAGGCTAGATGGCCATCTGAGAGCAATGCTGATTCTGTGAGCTTAGGCAGATCATGAGACGGGAGGGCAGGAAGGGTTGCATCAGTGCTAAGTTCTCGTGGCCCTTTCTTACACACCCAGGGAAATGCTAATTGCCACTTTGGGGTCAGGAGGAGATTCTTCTCCAGGCCAGTTTGGACGGGGATCCTGGAGGTTTTTTGTCATCTTCTGGGCATGGAACAGGGGTCATTGAGTGTGTGTGTGTGGGGGGGGAGGTATTTGTGAATTTCCTGCATTGTGCAGGGGGTTGGACTAGATGACCCTGGAGATCCCTTCCAACCCTATGGTCCTAAGTAAATAATATTCCATCTCCTCGGAGGCCATTTCCCTGCCTATTGTCACTGTATCTGTCCCTACTGTTGCTTTCTCTGCCGGGCCCGATGCCAGCGTTTTCAATTAATTTAGTACTTGTTGGATCTTTGGCCACTGAGACACAGCAGCAGCACTCTGTCTGAATGCTGATCAGGCCAGGCCTGCCACTTCACTGTCCCCCACCCTTCTTAATCTCCCCACATAGGTGGCTGCTCACGGTGTCAGATTTCCGGACCCGGAACCAGCTCCTGCACACAGGCTTGATGGTGGGCCAGGATCACTTCCCACTGAGGCGCTGGGACGATCTGGTGATGGAGGACTATCGTATGCACCTCCGGAGGGTGCTGGCCCGTCAGCGCCTGCTGCACAACCTCAGTGACTCCTGGGATGCAACCCAATTGAATGGACTGTGAGGCCCAGGGAAGAGTTAGCAGCAAAGACTAAAATGTTGCCGGCCTGCCTATCTGTCTTCTGTGTCATTTTAGAAGAGAGTGCCTAGGCCGCCATCTCCACCAGACTGGATGAGGTAGGATCCAACCCAGTGGCATTTCCTTCAAGAGTCTGCATCTAATCCGGTTCTCCTGAGGTAGCAAATATGGGGAGAGAGTGCCCCCTAGAGGCAATTCAAGGCACTGCCTTTCACATGGAACTGGTTGGATCCAGGCGTTTCCCCCCAGTAAATCTTGCCACATTCATCTCATTAGTACAGCCTCCATCACATAACTTCTCTTCATGCAAGTCCCATGATCCTCAGCATAGCCCTTTTTATGATCCAAAGGGACTCCCCTTTGTCACCAGCAAGAAAAAGCTGGCTGGATCCAATCCTACATTTGTACTATAGGCTATTCCAGGGAAGGGGGGGTGTAATTTCGTAATGGGAGAGGCCCTGCAGCTCTAGCTGGTGTGACCTGAAAGCCATTTCTCCCCATGCTAAATGAGTGAAGGTTTCCTGTGTTTCTTACGGGAGGAATGAAAGGCAGATGTACTTTTCCTTCTTATTGCTGCATGTGTTTTCCTGGCCCTGCAAAGAGATTCTGGGGCTAAGCTTCAGGATGCTTTAGCTCAAGTGCTACAGGAACCACAGTCAGCAAATGTGCAGAGAAATATAGGAAATATGACTGTGAAAGAAAGTGCAAAAAACAATTATTTTTTCTTAAATAACGTGTGATTATTTCAATATAGATGGGGCTATTTTTGGGCAGGAATGCACAGGAACGGAGTGGAGTTCCGGCTGGCTTTTAAATTGGCCACACCCAGCAGGAACTCATTAGCATAATAGGCCACACCCAACAGCAGAAACTCATTAGGATTGGCTACATTAGGGGTCTGTGGCCTAACATGCAAAGGAGTTCCTGCTACAAAAAAAGGCCCTGGATTTTGACAACAAACAAGGTCAACAGAATAAGAAGCAAAAAGGGGGTGTGGCTGGATGACCACACTTCTGGTAACATGGGGGTGTGGCCTATAATGCCAATGAGCTGTGCTGTCAGGGGTGTGGACTAATATGCTAATAAGTTTCTGCTGGGCTTTTTCCACAAAAAAAAGCCCTGGATGTGATTATTTCTTAACGAAATTATCCATCTAAGACAAAACCTGTTCCAAATAATCGCAATACAGAAGTATTCAATGAATAGTTTTGTATTGATAAACAGTTCTGTTAAGAAATAATCACATTTATATTGAAATAATCACACTTTATTTAAGAAAACATATTTGTTGTTTTTTGTGCTTTCTTTCACAGTTGTATTTCCTATATTAGCTCAATTGATGGCAGATGTCGAAACTGGGGAGGGGAATTTCCTTGGCTGGCAGAGAGGGAGTTTGGTCTCCCAGAAGAGATTTCGCATGCACTGCTACCACCACCCTTGCCAGAGCAACCATGCCTCTTCCCTAAAGAACGTTCTGTGCCCCAGAAATATTGCATGGAGTGTTCAAGCTTCCCTCACCGTGTGAGTCTTTTGTGCACACTGTAGCAGCACCTCCTTCCAGAAAGCAGCCAAAAAATAAATCACGGCAGCTTGCAACCCAGCAATAGAACTCTGCGCCTTACCTGCGCGTGCTGACATGAGGATTCAAGGCCACCGGAAAAGACAGGTCTGAATTCGGTGGACTTATTGGGTTGGACTCAAACAGCTTTTCTGCTGGTGGAAAAAGCGTTCTCTTTTGACCACCCCCAAAGGCTGTGCTGGGGATCATGGGGACAGAAGCCACGTGGGACAAAACCCACACGTGGATGGAAGCCACGCGGGGCAGGAGCTGTAGCAGGGAGGCCTAGTGAGCGATACTGAGTGAAAAAGCTGGCAGCAGGATCCGACCCGTGGTAAGGCACTGTGCTGGGTGGCAGGGGTGCCCAGCAGCCCTCCTGACACCATCATCTGAAAACTAATCAGGAGTCAGAATCCAGAGGTCACTAACAGTACCACATCCAGGCACAGCGGAGGCTGCTGTTGCCCACACAATGTCCCAGGTCAACTGGGACATCTTTATAATCCTTCTAGGTTGGGAGAACAATGGCTGTTGGGGGTTGGCTGTCCTGGATGGGCTGGGTCAACGCAGAGCCTCGGAATCATTCACTGCCCAGGGAACACCCTGACCCGTAGCTCTGGTGGCTAAACATACGGGGTCACAGCAGTCTGTTCTAGTCCTGATGGTTCCTGATCACAAACAAGTGATGACATCCACGCTGGGAGGACTGCAGCCCACCATCGTCTTGCTGCATCTGCCCGTCCACTGCTGGACACAGGGTGATGGACAAGAGGGGTTTCCCCTGTTCTCGCATTCTCTTCTTCCATGGATTTAAACAGCCCAATCTTCGGACCCGCTGACTGGGCAGAGATTCTTGTCTGATCAGATGCGATTTCCCAAGGATGGCGGCTGATCAGATGAAAAACCCACTTGGTCCGCGCTCCTGTGCTGAAATCAGCAAGCAGAGCTTTCCACGGCACAGGGCATAAACCGCGGCACCACCTGATTGCTTCATTCGCTGTTAAGAGGGACAGCTATGGGGCACGGTCTGTAAGTCAGTAGCCCCAAATGCAACAGTCCTGACTCTGGAGTGACAAAAGCTCGATCCAGGTTAATGACAATACTCATTCACCGAAGGCGTAGAGGCAGTTATTGAACTACCGGTGGGGGTAGTGATGGCCTCAATATTGAAGACACTGAGGACTTGGCAAAGGCCCAAGAACATACCTGAAGGACTGGGCTACTGGGTACCTTTCATTTCCCTGCCAATCTCTTTGGGAATGTGGTGTCTACAGGGTGGAGCAGTGGTTCAGTGACGGAGCCCCTGCCTGGCATGCAGAAAGCCCCAGGTTCTATCCCTGCCATCTCCAGTTAAAAGGACTGGGTAAAAGGTGATGGGAAAACCCTCTGCTTAAGACCGTGGAGAGCCACTGCTATTCAGAGCAGACAAGATTGACCTTGACAATGACAGATCAATGCCCAGTAAAAGGCATTTTTGAGTGATTAATTTTGGGGTCCATTCCAGGATAATTTTGTGGCCTTCCTTGAGCCTACTCAAGGCACAATCAAGAGCTTCTAGAAAGCTCTGAAGGAGGCGCCAACCTCTGCTCCCCTTGGCTGCGCACCCAGAGTACAAAACCCAGTTGAACCTTTTCTCCCAGTGGATGTGTTTGGCGTCCTTCCAAGGAACTCTGGGAATTGTAGTTTTGCCAAGGGGAACAGGCGCCCTTAACTCCTTGTGTTCCCAGGGTCAAGATGTTAGATGAGGCAGACCTGTTTTGTGCAAGCAACACGAGTCAGGAGGTCAAGCCCGTTCCCAACGAGATCCATATTTGAATGTGAGCGGAAGGAATGTCTGTGTGGTGTAGTGGCTGGAAGACCTGCATTCCGATCCCCCTTCCGCCACAGAGCTTCCTAGGCGACCTTGTAGCCTAACCTACCCTCACTGGATTGTTGGAGAATAACATGGGGAAGGCAGACTCACGTATGCCATCCTGACCTCCTTGGAGGAACAGCAGGATAACGATTGTACGGGATTGTAACGAGACTCCAAATATGCCACCCCCGCCCATTCTATTACTGAAATGGCCTCTGAGAGTGGATGGTTTGTGTTTAACTGGAGATGGTGGTGGGAAGTGCCATCACGCCACAGCAACCTTACGGTGACCCGGTAGGTTTTCAGAGGCAAGAGACGTTCAGAGGTGGTTTGCCACTGCCTGCCTCCGCGTCATGACCCTGGACTTCCTTGGAGGTCTCCCATCAGGGCTCCTTTTGGGCAGGAACGCACAGGAACGGAGTTCCGGCTGGCTCCCGAGTTGGCCACGCCCAGCAGGAACCTCATTAGCATAACAGGCCACACCCAACAGCAGAAATGCATTAGGATTGGCTACATTAGGGGTGTGTGGCCTAACATGCAAAGGAGTTCCTGCTACAGAAAAAGCCCTGGGTTTTGACCACAAATAAAGTCAACAGAATAAGCAAAAGGTGGGCGTGGCTGGATTACCACACTTCTGGTAACATGGGTGTGTGGCCTAATATGCTAATGAGCTGTGCTGTCAGGGCTGTGGCCGAATATGCTAATGAGTTTCTGCTGTTGGGCGTGACCTATTATGCTAATGAGTTCCTGCTGGGCTTTTTCTACAAAAAAAGCCCTGCTCCCATCCAAATACTTGGTCAGGGCTAACCTGGGTTAGCTTGCAAGAAAGAGAGAGCATCGCAACCATTGAGACGGTGGGAGTGGGGCAGATCCTGTGACTGCGCAGTGGATGAACACGAAACCCAGTTGCCTTTCACAGTCATCTAGAGGGATAATGGCGCCGAAGAAGAAACCGGCAAAATTAAGGCAAGGCTCTTCCTGAATGCCTCACCCGCACCGCTCGCTTTCCTTTAGGACATGTAGAACTCTCACCAGCCTTCGAACACAAAGCACCTCCTCCCCCACGCTCATCAGAAGACATGGCATTGCATACCTTGCACGCTTTCTCACTCCGACACGCAGACACCATAAATGCAAAATCAGCTAGGAGGGGCCTCTGTATCCCATAGAGTTTATATTTGCAAATAAAATCATTAAATTACATTAGTTGCTCTGCACAGGCATTGGAGGCAAAGAATGGGCCTCCGGCCCAGGACAAGGGGGTTCGGTAGAAGGGGATACGGGGAGGGGGAGTGTGTGTGTGTGTCTGGGAAACTTAGGCAGACCTGCCTGAGCGCCATAGGGTGGGCTTAGGCCACACAGGGTGTGTTTACATTCATCTCCAGAGTTCCTGCCCACAGAGTGAGGTTTCCTAGAGGTACCGTTTCTTCCTGGGTGAGGGAGGTACAGGGGGAAGAGAGGAGTGGAAAGCTGAGATCCAGGATTCCTGGGCTCCGGGTTTTAAAGTGCAGGTGGGCATGGAGAGCCAGTCTTTTCGCCAGAGGAAAGGAACAAAAAGAACCGGGCTGGGTCCTAGAACCGGACGCTCTACAGCATGTGGGAGGTGGGACGGGGTTTCTACAATGAGAGGAGCCAGTCCTCCCAGCCGAGAACCCAACTGGGTTCCAGAGCAGGGACTCGGACCCTGAGGGGCAGCGTGAGAGGCGGGGAGTGGAAGCTGCGGCCTCTCGGACTGGGAACCAAGCTGGACTGTAGAGCAGGGACCCAGACCCAGGCTGGGGAATTGGGGGTAGGCTCCTAGAGGGGCTGGGAGCCACGCCTCTTGGCTCAGGAGTCACTGTGGGTTCTAGATCTGGTGTGGCCTTGAAGGCCAGAGGTTGGGCTCCTGGAAATGGAACTCCTGGGTTCTCTCCGAGGTTAAGTGTGGGGCGGGGAAGGAGGGAGACGTCTATGACACGTTACACCCGGGTGCTACAAGGCCGGGTGCTGGGGCAAGTATAACCTTGGGAGACCCACACCGTAGGAGAGGGTTCGAGGGGGGTGAAGGGGGGAGTACCGACCCCCTTCCCTGTGGCCCGTCCCACCCAGCAACCACAAAATAATAGAAATAAAATCAAAACACAACCCTGTCAAATGCAGGCATTACCACCACCCCCCTCCCACCTCCCAGAATCATTCCCAGGGAATGGATCCCTGAATCACAAAGTCAGCGTCACATACGTCAGTTCATTTTCAGGACATTAAGGCAAGAGGAGTCGATGCTGCGGTTCTCGATTCTTCCCGGACCAGCCCCCGCCTCCAACCACCACCCAGCCTCGTGCCAGGTGACTGATGCACTGCACTACTCTTCCGACCCATTAAGACACCCTCTTGGGGAACCCAGGAGCCCTGCCTCCCACTCCCCAGATTGACCCACTAGCCCCAAATACCCAGAGTCCTTGGCCAGCTCCTTGACCTGAATGCCTCTGGACTGGCTCATGGATGCCTTCGATTCCAGTCAGTCCCACTGCTAAAACTTCAGTCTTAATAACAGCAGCAACATCCCCTGATCTTTCACCTAACTGGCTTGAAGTTGCCTTACACTGAATCAGACCCTTGGTCCGTCAAGGTCAGTGTTGTCTACTCAGACTGGCAGCAACTCCCTCTCTCTTACATACCAACTACTGCCAGTTCCCTGGACTGGCAACACAAGCGACCGAACCTGGGGCTTTCCGCAAGCCAAGCAGACTCTCCCATCACTGAACCTCACCCACCCACCCACCTTCTAGGAGACACAGAAAATGTGCCATTTCACCCCCATTCATGGCTTCCTAGGGTGCCCACCCATTGCTATAGTCCACCACTGCTTATATCTTGTATCTTTCCCAGTGCATGGGACTGTCCCAAGCAAGCGCTCTCCTCTTCCCTTAACTCTGCCCTTGAGAGTGAGCACGGCCACATGGAGGGGCTTGATCCACTGACCGCTTCTCCGTTCCACAATCCATAAAACAATTCCTTAGGTACCAGAGCTAATGGCTTCAAGAAACAGGCCCCATTGATCAACCACTACCCTTCCTGCCCACTGAAACCATTCCAAGTCCTCTCTGCACATTCTACGCATTCTCAAGCCCTCCTCCTGTGGTCCTAAGGTGTCCAGCGACTTCTTCCTAAAGCACCAGTCCTTCTGCTCAAGAACTCAGGAGGTCTGGCCCTTTCTCCCCACAATCCCTGGCTCTCATACCACCCTCCTAGAAGTCCTTCCTCCCCCAACCTCACAATGCTAAGTGTACATCATTCCTGGAGTTGGGATGTGAATTCACAAGGCTGCCCAAGCGAAGAGCAGAGAACAACAGCACGGGCCCCAGCCTGTAACGGAGGGGAGAGCTCGTTTTCCACCTCCCTGCAACATCATCGTTTTGGAAGACATTCTAAAGTTTGTTTGTTTCGTTTCGCTCCCTTGTTTTTTCTTGGGGGGGGGTCTAAGGAATGGGAGGCGCTGACGCGGCCAGTCCGAGGAGACGAGACAAAAGCCCTTTTTTTTCTTTTAAAAAGATGGCCGCTAAACTGGCAGCGCGGAGGCGCAATGTTGGCGGCACAGGTCATCACCACACAGTGAGGTGAGAGGGGAACACCACACGGCACTGCAGTGTGGCATCAGTGGCCGTCGGGACGCAGAGGGGGCAGGCGACAGCCACGTGTCTAAAACTGGGGTGGGAAGGGAGGCCACGCGGTACTGAGTTGTGGCTTTGGAGGCACAGTGGGAATAGCCATGTGGCATCTCGGGAAGTGGCGACGGCAGGAGAGGGGCACCACGGGAGAAGGAAGGCCGGGGGGGATTACGTGGCAAAGAGGGCATCCTGAGAGGGAGGCACAAAAAGCCACGTGGCACAGAGCCATGGCACTGGAAGGGTTAACCCAGCCATGCAAATAGGGTGAAGATGCACAACTCCGCTCAAAAGGTCAGGAGCTCACTGGTTGGAGGTTGCCCGTGGCATGGGTGCTACCCAATCACCCCTTGACATTTATGAAATCTTTAAGCATTGCCCAGGCACTTACACCCAAAATGGCTCGCTGGCTCCTGCTTTCATTCAGTTCTGGCCAAGGCCAGAGGTTCTTAAACTTTTTTTGAAGTGGGACACACTTGTAAACGTACTGTTTTGAGACCCAGTGGGCTTCTGGGTGATGGAAGTAGTGCCCCCCCCAACTTTTCTTGTCACTAGAAGGGGGCGAGGAGCTTGAGCCTCATGACCCACCTAGGAGTCGCCACCCACTTGAGGCTCACCAGCCACAACTGGAGAATCACTGGCAGTTCCTCCAATCTCCCTACATTCCCAGTGTCCTTTGAATTCAGATCCTGCACCTTGACGTCACAAGCAGCCATGTCTCGCTGGAAAGATCGCCTACTCAGGACTCTTGTCGTCAACCCCACCCCCGGTCGTGAAGGGCTACAGATTCACTTTGAAGAAAAGCAAAGTCAAAACTTCTTAAGGTTCTGTGAGTATCCTGGCTGCCCACGTAAACTTTATTTGCCTGGGGCCTACCACCAGTTTTTTTAAAAAATTAATTAATATTAGGGGTTTTTTTTGCATGCCTGGGTTAATCTTGTGGTCATGAAGGGAAAGGGTACATTGCTGGCCTTGACAGGTGTCAGATTTGCAAGGTGACCCAATGGGGAGCATGGGCACATGGGTGATGGGAGCCACACGGCACAGAAAAACGTGGCGTGGCTCAGAGAAGCAGCGTGCTGCGCCACACGGTCATGGGGAGGGCTTAGCTGTATGGTACAGAAGTACAGTTTGAAGGAGTGGGTGGGGGCGTCATCAGCTGTGTGGCACAGCCGTGGTGGGGCTGGCGGTGGCTAGCTGTAGATCTAAGAGTCACAGCACAGGTGAACTGGTGGACGGGGCCCGGCCACAAGGCCTACGGTCAGAGGACAAGTCCCCGCGTACTTCCCCACAGCTCATAAATCCCTGATGTGGAG